AGCTCTCAGGGACAAAGCCTATCACACAGTCCTAAAATGGCATTATCACTGTCACTGCAGTGCAGCTATGTTTCCTGTCCTTTCTGTTGCTCTTCAGGGGTTTTTATAAACCCTCAGATCTTTGATGGTTAAAATACTGCTTAATTTGCAGCCTATACATAGATACATGTTGTTAACCTACACCCACTTGCCTTCACATTAATGTTGTTTAGTTCAACTGTCTCTTCTATTACCTTATTGTCTACTTCATGAAATATTTATAGAGAATAAACACATCCATTTCAGACTTTTTTTCACAAGGCTAAGCAATCCAACCTCCCATGGTCTTCTCTTCCTTAGTTTCCCAAGGAGTTGCCTATTTATGTTTAGTGCCTCTGGAAGCCTTTACAGATGTATTCACGTTACACTCAAAATGATGAAGATAATGAGTCCATAACTCTCCTCCAAGACAGCAGCAGAGTATGTAAGACTATACCATTCTTTTACCAAGCTGTTATTTCTGAYACTATTACCACAATGAAATTCAACTTCTTCACTCCATTCACTCCAGTAGGCTGGGTAATCCGTGTAGTTGCACCTGAGACTTGCAACRTAATCATAGCCTCTCTTCAAGGAGCTTGCAGTTATCTCAAAGCTTTTGGCCTGGTAGTTAATTGCTTTTATGGAAACCTGAAAAGAAAGTGAGAAAGTTCACGCTGATTTCTTTCTAAGGTGAAATGTTAGTGACAGCAACTAAATATCAATAGTGTTATGTGTTTCAATRACCTTTCACAAATGAACAAATGAATGTGTATGATACTGCAGTTCATGTCATAGCAGGTGGTATTTGTTACATGGCACTAAGCATGTTCTTCCTCTATCAGAAATCCAGTCCAAAAATGCTGGATGATTCAGAAGGGTATCTGAAGTGCCTCACCTGCCCCACCGAGCCACCAAACTCCAGTTTCTTGATGTCTAAGGAGCAAATGGAACTCAGGGAACAGAAGCATTGCGTTTTCAATTTCAGCCCTGTCTATTGCAAGCAGCAGACCATTTTGGAGTGGCAGTCAGAAGAGTTTCAATCCTCTGACATCCAGCTGAACCATCTTGGGGGCAAAGTGACCTGTGGCAAGTGTGAAATCAGGAACACTGTGGAACTTGCTCTTGCTGACCCTTACACTGTTATTCACAGAGTGACTTTTTAGAGGATATCTGAACGTGAAAGCTCCAGAGACAGAAAATGAAGAGACTGGCTGTCTCTTACCTCTGTCGGGTGCTGCTTCCTCCAGTATTTCACTTCATAGATGACTGGCTGTCCAGASAGCAGGGATGAAGGAGAGCAGCTCTCCTCCCAACTCAGATTGAAGTTACCATTTCCAGCTTTCTCAATGGCAAGATTTTTGGGGGCCCTCGGCTTAACTGTATGTTAAAAAATACAGTTAAGGAGAACAGGGTAACGGGAAAGCACTGATAGAGAGAGGCATTCACCAGAGACCAGAATATCATGGCAGCCAATGCACCTAGCCCTCTTCACTATGCTGCAGCACAAGGAGAGAGAGGCCAAAGCAGAGCAACTTCAGGGTCTTCATGAACAAGCACTGATTCTTGAAGCTGACCGAATGCAAGCACAGCCTTTTGGTGCACTGGATACAGCTTTCAGCCCTGAGAAAAGGGAACAGCCTGTGCCCTGACAGTAGCAGCTGTGGGRCAGGGTGGGCATAGAGCCCCAGTGTCAAGCCAAGCTTCTCCTGGCTCCCTGTCTCTTGGAAATCRATGAGGATTTCTGTTTATTTGGCAGGTAAGCAGCAGCATCAATCAAGTATTCTGAAGAAAACCAGATCTTTGGCCTGCCTAAGGTATGCAAATRGTTTCTCTGAGTATTTAAGATGACAGGCATTATCAACAAGCGCACTGTTCTGACCAAACTGCGGGCCTAGRCAGAGACATGAACTACAGTGTCTACACTCTGTCCTGTGAAAGAGCAGTATCTTTAACTTTTTATCACTGGCTGTTAAAATCCAGCAGCAATTACTGTAAAAAATCTTCTGCTCATGTAGCATGATAAATCAGAGTATGACAGAGACAGGAACTGGAGGAATTTCAGTAGGGATAGCCTAGTTGCCTTCTAGAAACTGAAAGCAGTATGAGTTCTCTTCATTCTGTAAGCCACAAGAAAAATGCACTAACAACAATCTAAGCCCCCAAACTCCTGCTGGCTTGCAGCTGAGATGGTACAGCTAGAGGAAGAASCACTCTCTGCTTTCCCCATTACTTATACTCATTCCTTAAGAATCTAATCCAGAACCGGGTTTCTAAGACAAATGGATTTTGCATTTAAGCTACCACATTTTCCACCTCTGATAAGCAAAAACTGTTCCAGTGACATGAATGAGAAGTTAGCTAGGATGGAAAAGCTTAGAACCACAWGTCCCAGTGACAAAGCCAAGTTCTTACCAACAAGGGCTGGTGTAACATTGTAATTCCACACATCAGTCCCATTGAACTGTAGGGCTAGAATATATGTGAGGCTTGATACAAACAAATCTTCATATATTGTGCAAGTGCAATTTAAACTGKTTTTTTCATTCTCAGGAACACATATGTTTCTGAAAAACAGGCACAGAATTATGTGATGTTTAAAAGAATGTGACACACTATCCTTGAAAAAATGAAATCAAGTTTCCCAGCTAATCAAAAGTGAAACAAACAAGTCAGCTCCCAGAAATGTTTCCAAACCAAAACTGAGATCTCCAAACAACCCACCCACCCAGACACCCCCTCAATATCTGTATCACACAAATGAAAAACTTGACAGAAAGGCTAAGGATTGATCCCAAATACCACCCTCTGTCACRCTGCAGCCTCTAAAGGAGCATACTAACAGCTTGTTAGGATAGAACAGGATTACTGCAGTGTATGAGCAAGGTTATTTGAATGCTGGTGTGGTAAGATCAGAGCAACAGGAGAACCCAGACACATCTTCCTTCGTAAGAGATGACGACTGGCCCTGCTCTGTGCCTGAACATGTGTTAGAGTGCATGCAGAGACAATCACCTGTGCTCCAGAGGAGAATATCTTTCACACAGGCTACAGACAGGTGCGTCACATAAGATCTCTCATGAAGAAGGTAAAACATTGCAGGAAGTTAGGGTTTTGTAAAACTTATAAGAGCCCTACCACTCCTACCAGTAGGACTTGATCCCTCCTCTGTACTAAGAGTGCAGAAAGCTCTACAGAAGAGTAGGCATCAGAGAGTGCTGTTAATTGCAGAAACCCATTTCACCTAAGAGGAAATAATCCATTTTACTTCAAGAGGAATAATCTGAATTACATTTTGTCCCAGACACCCATAGTAGAGGGAGGGAATTAAAGCCAATAGCGGCTACGGGATATAGGAAGCTCTAACAATGGCAGTGTAACATCTTATTCAGCACTTACGACACAGAAGAATCTTCCTTTCTGTACCAGAGCAGGAATTCTTTGGAGCAATTCATTTTTTCAGGCACCTTCCAGTGACAAACCAGCTCTTTGTCATAGTCAGTAAAGCATGCAAATTCTTGTATGTGTCCTGCAGTCGTAACTAGGGAAAAGCAGCATATAATGAGAAGTAAGAGAATTAGAAGACTATATACCTTTTAGTGGACATGATACATAACACAATGGGATCTATAAAATTTGGATTCTAAGTTGTTGGTATATTGACTGCTTAGAAACCTAGAACTGACTGCAATTCACAGTTTCATGAGTGTTCAAATACTTAGCAAATGTTTTGGATTAGTTACTAAGGCTACATATTTATCTTGTAGATAAGAACTATTGTTATTGTGTCCATCCTGGATAGCAGTACCATGTTCGGTTCCTTTTTTTTCTGCATGGTACCCAATGCTTCAAAACTCACCAAAAAAGCAGTAAGTCAAACTTTTGCAACATTTTAACAGTCAGACTGCTTTTTATTTTAAAATATTCATTATCCTGTTGATGTTGTTTATATTCAGTTATCATTTGTAATTTTATTGCTAGTTTTCTTTTTTCACTTTAAAATTTACTTTTAACAGAAGTACTATCACTTTAAGGCCCTTAAGGATGAATGATATTATTTTTACATGTGTTAATCATCTTACACTTCCAGGAATACTTAAATAATTTGAAGCTCTTCCTGCTGTGCTACGCTACAATGACTAACAGTTTTACTTTGTCTTGCCATTTAGCAACCTCATGTCTTTTCAGAACTCAAAATTATATTCTCTGCTCTTTTCCTGTCACCTTCTGACTTTTCCATCTCTACTATACCGTATTTTTTTAAAGCTCAGATATTTGAGAATTTCCTTTTGAAACCATATACAGTACAGGGTTTGTTTCGAGTTTGTGTAATTAAAAAAGGGAACTGAAATACTGAATTTCTTTTTTAAACGATGCTGAAGAAACTTAAAACTTGTAGTTCACTAGGCAAATAAATTCAAACAAAACACTGTAAAATTAAACTTTGATAAAGATCACTTAGGGAAATGAAAAGGTGGGACTAGCTATATTAGACAATCCCACCAATGTGCTCCTGCGAACCTTGATCCTTCTCATTAATTCAAATTGCACTATTTCATAGTACATAAGATAGTAGCTAATAAACCTTCCATTTTGGAGACAAGATATTTTAAATTGTTTTAAAACCAAAATTTTATTTATTTTGGTTTGCTTTATAAAACCAAACGAGACCTAAGAAACTATATACAACTGTGGAACTAGTAAAAAATACAGAGATCAAAGCATGAGATTCATTTTACAGAAAATGAAAATGCATTATTGAAAACCATTAACATATATCCCATTTGTATTTATAACTAAACATCATAAAAGATCAGATAGTGGGGAAGGAGGAGAAGACTTTCCAAACCTGTTTCTCCTTTCTGMAAATTTCTTATTTTTCCTGCCCACACAAAAAAGGTCAATATAAAGAAAAAGAATATAAGAATTTATTCCAGCACATGGATATTTCTGACRTTTGAAGTTACAAATTTTATAGCAGTTAATTAGTGGTGCCTAGTGGTCATGGAAAAATGCTGTCAATATAAACTTCAGTRTAATAATTTAAAATACTGATGAACATACCTTCATTTGCTGTATATGAAAAGAAAAGGATCCACAGGGTATATGGTGCACCACTTGRGAGTCTTGCCATTATTGACACTGGTCAGGTCCAGTAGGAAAAGCTGTGTTGCAGTTCTGCCAACAAAAAAAATAATATAAGCTTACATCCCTGTCTCAGTTAAGGTAAAGGTGTCATTTTTCCCACCACTCTGCTAGATGTTAGAATTCAGATCCCTTGCTGTACCTGCTTYCCACTTCTGGCCCCTAAAATTAGCACATGGAACAACGAGACATGTAGAAGAATAAGGAGAACATAAATGAGCTGGAAAACTTTTCTGCAAAATTTTAATTACAGAGGATATGGGACTGACATTGGCAGTGGACCCACTCTCTTCAGCTACTAGAAAAGTTGCCAGTATGTGAGCAATTAAAAGGGTAAGCACTACACCAAAATCAGTGACAATGTCACCAAAGCCCTATGATTGCAATCAGATAATGAAAGAATTTAAGAATGAAGCGTCTGATCCTACTAACTAAAAAGTTTTTCCCCAAGTCCTATCACTGGTATCCTGATAATCTGAGTATCACCCTCTTAAAAATATTTTTAGCAAAGAACTCTGAACATTGCTCCAACAGAATGAAGATTCATTAAAACATGAAATAATTAGAAGTTGTAAAACACGTAACTAATCATGATATAACCAGCACAATTTTGAGAAGGAAAATAACCCAGCTTTTATGATCCTAAACATGGCAAAATTTTAGATAAATTGAAAAGATAAAATAATTCATTTCAGACTTAAAAATAGCAAGTGTCCCCAAGATGTCTTTACCAATGTAGCCACTTAATGGAAAATCATATTCTGCCTAAGATGTGGCTACCAGCTTTCTTATCACTACAAATGGTTGTGATGCACTTAAAATCCTGGTAAATTTGTAGGTGAAGTCATGCTAACTAATATGCTTTTGGCTTTGCATTCAGTACAAAGAGGGATAAAATTTGTTCAGCAGCACATTGTTAACACACAACCCTTTGGTCCCTTCCTCTGATGTGCTTGGAATTTTCTAACCTCCATGTCTGGACAGTGTTCTTGCTGTCTGCAAGCTTCAGCTGCTCTGTTGACATCTGTAGAGCTCCCAGGTAGCATGTTAGTTTTAATCTCAAAGCCTCACAATCCTCTCAGTGTGGCACAATAAAGAAAAGACAATAGAATTCCTCTGAAGATCTCCTTCAGCAGGTGAATGGTGCTGATGTTCTGCAGAAACATGGTCAGATTCTGAAGCAGAAGAGCCCACTGAAAGGTATTTGTGGACAGTGGTTCAWTAACCTCTGCTCCAAGCCAAYCACAGCAACAGAACCACGTTTCRTGTGTCTGACAGAGGCAAGTCTRTCTGTCTGTCTGTAAATGTCCATCTTAGAAGTTAAGGGATAAAGACCCTGTGAGTGAAAACAGAGGATCAGAATGAAGACTCCTCTGTGACCTTCTCTGGGGCGCTAYTACTCTCCTCATCTAGTAATAAAGGACATGCCTGAAAGACAATTTCTCATAAGAACTTGAGAAAACTATTACTCAGGAGCTGGGATTTGCACATTCTGAGATAGATGAAATGTGACTAAGCATAGTAATACATTTTTTAAAAAGAACACAAGCGCCTTTGCTGCTGCTCAGAAAAAAAAGAGCCAACTGCTCCAGCATTAAAAAAAAAATCCTTCTTTTCCCTTTTTCCTGGAATTCTCAAGAGAGGAAGAATTCACTTTCGTAATACTGCCACATGACTGGAGTTCCAAGAAACTCTTAGAACTCTYAAAGTTTTGGCACAGAATCCTGAACTACATAAGCATGTCCAAACGAGCAGATGGCAGACCAAAACCATCTTCTCATGGAAGAATGGATCTGCCTATGTGGATGAAAATGGATGTAAGCCATAGCTTTAACGAAATGCTAAAGGAGAACATTTTAAAACATTCACATTAAAACATTCTTCTACCTGTAACCTCTTAAGCTTTTCATTATACCACACAATGAAATATCAATCYTAAAAAAGTATGTAACATGTACAGACAATACTAAAATTGCAGCAAACATAGTATCCTGACATATCTGAGGAAAGTAAATTGTAAAGACATAAGTGACTTCCCCAAAACCAGGAAAKAAATCTYWGTCGGGGTTAGAAGCAGATCCACAYGATTACTGRCATAAACTACATGTTTAGATCACTYAAYCTTTCTGTTTCTTRAAAAAAAAWTAKGATGTGATTMAAAYKATTTCATTTACTATCAAGAAAAAAGGTACTAACTTTTGGTTCGGTCTTCTATGGAAATTACGGTCACATTTTTTAAACAGATATAATCTGCAAAACTGTTAYRCTCAAAGAGTAACTCCTGCCTAAATCACAGAGGTCCGATATCRCACAAGATTGGTTTGTACAGCTGAAGCATCACTCCCTGTTTAAAACTGTCTCTTTTTAAAAGTGCAGCACATATTATCTTACTCTTTCTAGTTTAAAGCAGTGGCTGCAAACGTAAACTATAATGAGACAAAGTGGTACATGGCAAAACAGAAGTTTCATCAACAGATTCTGTATAAAACCTTATAAAGAAAACCCGTGCAGAGTGTAATGCATTCTGATAAGAAACCGCTCCCCCTGATGCCGCGTTGAGCCCCTTTCGGAGCTCGGCACCAACCTCCCCGAAGCTCTGCGGGCCCGAGCCCCGGGCTGGGCAATGCCGGGAACGGCTCCGGCCGGGAACCCGGGACAGGCGGGGCTGTGCCCACCGAGCAGCACATCCGGCGGGAACCGCACTTAAAATACTGTAAAAGGTGCACCCGAGTTAAACAACCCCAAGGAAAGAAAAGCGCTTTTGGCCGCGGGCTCCAGCAGGAGCCGCCCATAGGACAGGGCCCGGGATCTCCACCCGGCCAAGCTCCGGAGGGAGCACGGACCTTCCGCCTTTCCCAGAACCGGCGCGGCGGAAAACACAGACCGCACAAAGGGCGCGCCAAGCGCACGTAACGAGAAAGAGCCGGTCCTGCCGCCGGGACGAAGAGGCCGCCGGACGTACCTTATCTTGTCCGACTCCCGCACCGGGCTCCCGACCGGGGTGATCCCGACCCCGCACACGGCGATACCCCACACCCGGCCCGGTCCGACGCCATCCGCCCCCACACAGCGCCCGTCCGGGGCGGCGCCGGCTGAGGGGAAAGGGGCGGGGCGGGCCCGGGGGCGGGGCTATAAATGGTCGGGGACTGTAAATGGGCGGGGCTATAAATGGGCGGGGCTACAAATGGCGGGGCTATAAATGGGCGGGGCTATCGATGGGCGGCGCGCGCAGCTATCGCTGAGCTGTGGAGGAGAGGCAGGTGAGAGGGTGGCGTGAGGGGAGTGGAGCCGCGGGGAGAGCCTCGGTGGGTGCGGGTGAGCTCCGGTGGTTTCTGGTAAGCCTCGGTGGGTGCCGGTGTGCCTCGGTGGGTGCGGGTGAGTCCCCGTGGGTCCGGGTGAGCTCCGGTAGTTTCTGGTGTGCCTCGGTGGGTGCCGGTGTGCCTCGGTGGGTGCGGTGGGTCCCGGTGAGCTCCGATGGGTTCTGGTGAGCCCGGGTGAGTCCTGCTGAGCTCCCGTGGCTCCGGGTTAGCTCCGGTGGGTCCTGGTGGGCTCCCGTGGCTCTGGGTAAGCTCCGGTGGGTCCCGGTGTGTGCCGGTGGGTTCTGGTGAGCCCCGGTGGCTCCCGGCAGGGCCGAGGGCCGGGTGGTTTTCCGGGCCATTTCCCCGGCCGTTTGCCCCTTCGGCTGCGGCGAAGCGGCGGGGCCGGAGCTCAGTCAGAAGCGGGCAGTGGTCGGTACATTGGCCAGTGAATTTCCTGAGCTGCCTATAGTTAGTTCAGGCCTTCTTCGAAACCTGTAGACGATTATTTTCAGTCCGAAGTTACCCGCTCTGATTGTGCTCAAATCAGGCTGTGTGRGGAGCAGGCGCTTTATCCAACATAGAATCGCAGRCAGTGTTGTATTTGTCAGCCAACASTGTTATTTYCAGGCTTGGGGGTGTAGATKTTAGGCTTGGGGTATTGCAGATACCGTCGGAGAAGGTAGCGGTTAATGGAACGTTGTGTAATGGTCAGTGGGGCGTTGAGAGCTCTCTTAACCACCCTTCCTCACAAGTCCAGTCCAGTTAGTTCAGCAATGTACTGTGCCGCTTCAATGTAAACCACACCGTACAGAGATCATGATCAAAGTTTAGATGCTCAGTGATCATCAGGGATGCCTAAAGACCCTCCAGGAAGACCGTCTGAGACTGTGCAGACTCAAGTGTCGATATGTGTATCACCTTGAGCCAACTATGCACCTCAAACAGGAGTCATGCCCCTGTGTATCTAGTGCTTCAATAAAGTATAGCCTCCTTCATAATTCTACACCGGTGTTAAGGAGTTTTACTCCTGATTTTGGGTGACAGCAACACAATGCCTATGTTGTTCTTTTCTGTAGCTAAAACTAGTCGGATGCTGTCTTTTGCACCCTTGCAGAACCTCAGAGCTGGTCACCCTCTGCATTCTGAGGACGACCTGGGGATCTGCTTTTTTTGCTCTCATTCAGTGTAATAGAGTTTAATTGAAATCTTGTGTACCCTTGGACTGTATATTCTTAATTTGCATGAACATGTGTATTAATTCCCTCTTGCACCTTTTGCAGCACTTGATGCCTGGTAAAACACTGTGATGGCAGCTCAGATGACCAATGCTCATCGACGGTTCTTGCARGTTCTGATGTCTAATGGGATAACAGAAGCATCACAGGCCAGGAAATTACACCAGCACTGCTGTGAAATTGATAAAGGTGKGTCTGTTTTGGTGATGAAAGAAGTGGGTTTTTTTTCATGGTGCAGCTTACAAATAATTAGATTTCTGAAGGGCACACGCTAGCTAAAAAAACTGTTACGGTGTGTTTCCCCTCTTTCTTGAAAGATAAAATGACATAGCAAAGAGTAAACTAACTTCTAATCAGGCCAGATTCATATTTAGTACTTTTTATTTTTCAGGGTTGCTTTTGATAGGTTGTACATATAAATGGTTTAAAAAGAAAATTTTTGACTCTGGAAGTACTTCAGTATAGTGAATGTTTGTAAGTAAATGCACTTCAGTTATTTCTCTCAGGTCTTGGGGGAGAAGTGACTGCTGTAGAAACCTTTCAGTGAGAATGAGGTTTCTTTGTGAATTGCTGTGCTTTTTTTTTCCCACTTCACCTCCACTGTATTGTCCATTCCAAGTCCTGGAAACTGTGCCTCTGTCAGGCTTAGGAGACTCCCTGCGCCATGGCACCATGCTACCCACTCTGCAGGGACTCTGCTGGTTTTCTATGAATTTGTATCTACTTACCCATAGATGTGAGGTCAGAATGAAATACTCAATTTGTGTGTCTCCTGAGTCAGGARCTGTAACTTGACCTACTTCTTAGAKGCTAAAATTGTGAAGTGCAACTTTTGGTGTGCTCTAACCCCTGTTCATTTTTTTATGGAGAGTTTTTATCCCTTTTTTCTCACATAAGATCAAATTGATCTATTTGGCAGAATTCTGCCTTACACAGTTTTAGCACTTTTACCTGGGAAAAAAATGTTTGACATAAAAATATCTGCCTGATGTGTAATTGGCTTCTCTCAGTGTATGTTTTTTCTCATTTATTTTCAGTTTATTACGCACATGATAAACTGGATGATTTCATCAGCACTATTAACAGCCACCTGCAGCCTCTGTTTATGCAGATCCGGAAAGGAATATCGGAGGAAGATGGGAGAGCACATTATGCTGTAGTAGGTACCTGTGTTTGTGTGGGGCTGGCAGCAGCTGCAGGAGCTGGTGGGAGGATAAACTGCCACAGTCCAGATGTGTGGGAAGAGGACATGGCAGYAAGGATGACAGCAGTGTTGGAGTTACTCAGCGTAAACATTGCTTAAGTGCTGAAGTGTGAGATTTCTTTTTCACAGGAGACTCTTTCCTGAGACAAATTTTTGAACTAGAAAACACAGAGAGTCCTCCAACATCAGTTTTCTTTTTCTCCCACTCAAAAATCAACCTAGCACAAAAGGATTGATGAGGAGTGGCCTATAAGAAGTTTCCCCAGATGATTTGCAATGTTCATGTCAGAGAAGGAAGGTTATCTAGTAATTTCAAAAGAACCTACAGGAGATATTCTAACATTAGCAGCTACTTTTGACCTTTCCTTTTGCCAGTTACATTGAGCTAATAAGAGTAGTAGCATGTGTAATAAGAGTAGAAGACACGGGCAGCTGTTTTTCACAGTGAAAATGTGACTGATACCATAGTTCCTGTGATATGTCAGCTCTGCTGCAGTACTGTCAGTCCTGGGGGCTTGTGTTGTTGAGTAGCTGGGCAGAGGCAGCTGTGGAGAATTTGTGGCTGGAAGATCAGGGCTTGTGAAGAAAGGACTTGAATACCATTGAGTGCCCCTCAAAGAACTAACGTTTATGTTAATTGTAAGATGATGTATTCTTTACCTCAGGGAGTCTTCTACAGTTTCTGGTGTAAAACTGCAACGGCACCTCATATCAATTTATTTTTTGTAGGTGAATTTGGCAGAAACAGAAGTAACTAAAATGGCATCTGACTATACAGAAACTGAATTAGAATTGTTCAGAAAAACAGTAAGTATGTCCGTTATCACTTAGTAAATGACATAATTTGTGARGGTATCATCTTAAAATAAATAGAAATGAATGGAGATATGGTTGAGGAAGTCCTTGCCATTGTACCTAAGTTTATCTGAGRTCAAATGGGCAGGGTGGGCAGGCATGAAAGTATGTGCAAGTAATGATTCACTGTTGGAAGTCAGTTATGGGTAAGGCAAAATCAGCACCAGGGAACAGCTCTTTGGGATTAGGGTCTTGATATCCTGCTTTTAGTTAGACAAACAACTTCCTTCAGGATTTTCAGTCATGATTGCTGAGTTCTTCTCTGGCTTCAGTAGTTTAGTAAWATACAGTAGTTTTTAATGCTACTAACATACAAAATTAATTTGCTGATTTTAATATAAACATTTGTCTATGGTTATTGAGGTTTTCCCTCAAAAKAACTTTGACAAAGAGCAGATAAAAAGAAATGGATCAGTCTCTACTGAGTGTTCTATGGGGTCCCTGAATGCAGCTTCATTTAGGCAGCATGTACACTTCTATTTGTGGAAACTTTTTCTTGGCAAAGATCAAAAYTGTCAAGGCGACAATGATTGTTTCAGCTTTTGGCCTTTGTTTTATGGTTCTGCTTCAAGCCATACAGAGATACTGTAGTATCTCTCCCATATGGATGCTAAAAAACTGCACATTACCATATTACTGTAAGGTATGTCTGTCTAATTGCAGTGTTTCTAATACTCGGCAATGTCTCTTCCTACAGATGGACCTAATAATTTTATCAGAAAATGGCTTTGCCTCATCTACAGATATTTTAAACTTGGCTGACCAACTTAAGACAAAGAAAATGAAGAAGAAGGAAGCAGAACAAGTGCTGAAAGTTTTTGTGGAGGATAAGTGGCTCTCTGAGGTAACTACATTTAAGTGTTTGTAGTTCATTAGATCCAGCTAACATGTTCTTACAGATGTGTTGGCTGAAACTGGAACTGATTCTTGAATGAATGATGGCAAAAATGGGTTTATGGGGCCTGTGCTTACTTCTGCTCCAATGAGTTTTGCAGAAAAGGAAGTAGACTTACAAGGAACAAGGGCTTGGATAGGTCTGTACAGGACCATATGGTTCCAGTTTTCTTATAACTGAGCTAGGGTGGGATTGTGTGTCCAATGCTGCCTAGTGACAGCCAGACATCCTTTGTACAACAGCAGCACAGCATCCTTCAACCTGGAACAAGAGCTGGGAAAAGCTCTTCAGAGTGATCAGTGCTGTTAGTTACATGCAGAATTTCCTGAAAAGGAGTAAGGCCAGACATGTTGAAAATTCCTGTACTGGAAATGCAYGAGCCACTGTGCACATGGTTACATCTGCTTTATTTCATGAGAGAGCAGTGGAGATGAGCTTACCATGTGGACACTGTTGTTGCTTGCCAAGTGAGACCTTAATCCCTTCTGCTGAAGTAATTGCATCATAGATCTCCAACCTGCTGCTACACTGTAACTTACATGTTAATTTGATTTGGCAGAGATTTCCAAAGATGCCTTAAGCAGGAAATGCCTAGATTCTGTCGAAAGCCTGGARAATTTCCTCTAATATGTAAATATTAGATCTCTCTATTAAGGAGAACATGCTTCCTCATCTATACTTTCCCAGGACTAGATCTCTGTTAAAGGTGTGGGATCTTTATTCTGCTCCTCTAAACAAAGGTGTTATGCTATTTCAAAAGTTTTCGGGTGTTGCATTGTACCAGCATGTTAGTTCCATGAGGGTAGAAAAATGTATTAACAGGTAGTTAGTAAAGTCAAAAAAGGTAAAAAGAATTAAAAGAAATTCTTCATCTCAACTTTTGCTTCCTTAGAAAAATGGAGAATACACTTTGCATACTCGTTGCATAATTGAGATGGAACAGTACATTCTCAGCAACTACCAGGATGTGGCAAGGAAATGTAACATCTGTCACAGCCTCGCCATCCAGGTAACGTATTTTCACCTCAGCCAATGGACTCACGTGGTCATAGCTGAGGTTTGTGATATATGCCCTTGGGTATTAGGTAGGCACTAAAAAAATCTTGGTCTCGTAATCTCATCATGGTGGTCAGGTATTTTGTAAAAAACCCTTTTATTTCATTGTAGGCATTTTATCTTCTGTCTTTACAAATAAAATTGTCTTGGAGCAGTRTCTCCAAGTACAAAATTGTGGAAAGTGCACTCCCACAATGAGGAACATGGTTGTGCTGTCTGGCTTTCTAGACTTTTTAAAAGATGAACCCCTGATGCTGAAAGATGTGAGATGTTAGCAGTGTCCTCTTTGGGCCTTACCAACAGACACCTTCATGTGACACATTCCTTCTTGGTCCTGGGATTTTAATTCAGGAATTGCTTGTGTTTGGATCTCAAAAGGAACATGTGTGCTACGTAGAACATGCTAAGGCACTCTCTTTTGATAGYTGGGACATTACCAGTTTAGTCTTGYRTAAGTGGTWACAGCCTGAATTCCTRTTCCAAAACKGCTACATTTTCTTGCTCTGTRTGTCTTCTRATCTGTCCAACTRAYRTGCTTCCATGCTAYTTTTTCCACCCCAATTTGTCTCTTGTGCTGCACTGAAATTGTTGCCTTTCAGGCTAAATTTTGCCCACATAGGGAAACAGTATTTCCTAGTGYACAGAAAAATACCTCCTTTTACCATTTATCAGCTTTGATTGTTGAACGTGTCCACCACCTATATTGTGGGAACCATTCTTTGGAACAAAGCATTGCATATCTGCAGCCCTTTGTAACAACTTTCTCTTAAATAGAAGCACAGTTTTGAAAGATTTTCTGAATCAACACTCCTGATTTCAGAGCCAAGTATGYGAATGCTGTGGAATTGGAATGCATTTACCTTGTGTCAGAAAGTACTTCAGAGGACAGACTGAACCCCGCTGTCCCAAGTGTAATGAATTCTGGTCTTGTGACCTCCCAGGTATGAAGTGACCTTTTTTTAAAAAAATTGAATGTAATATACTAGGAAATGGTCAGTGGCATTGCCTGTATTATTTATTACYGTGAGTGTCAGCTATTTCTGACTTCAGCTGTATGTTGCAGACCCYATGGATGTTTTTTTATAACTGTCCTTGGGAGGTGGGGAGGGCAGAGAAGACACACACTATGACACTAAAACTTCTGGAAATGCTGAGCTTCTAAGAATCTCTTTGGAATTCCTCCATTTCTCCAGGGAAATTGGAGATTGTGAACAGCAACACAGGAATATACATACATACATATATATATATATATATATATATAAAGCATTTTAGAAAAGGAGCATAGTATAGTGTACTATACAATAGTATCCTTTTTTAGTGTTGTCCATTAACTTTCCTTTGGTTTTCCTTACAGGTACGAGTCAGATGGGCTCCCATACTCACCACAGAGCTCATTCTCAGGCCTAGCTGATGCCAGTAAAATTTGATGTCARTGACATCTGTTTGCCCCCACTCTGGCAGAACAGCCAGACTGTATTGTATTCATTAGTAACAGTGGTCAGTKTATTATTTTCTAAAATTCTAAGAATTTTACAATAAAACTATCATTGACTTTCCTGTTCACAGTAATGCCTGCACAGCTTTCTTGGASGTTGTTTTGTGTTTGTAATTCTCCATATTCTTGGGTTGGCACTCTTAGTGCGTGTTTGGGGATGAAAGATGCAAATATTTGAGTCAGTCCTGCAAGCTCAACTCTCAAAAGGAGCCTTTCTCAGCATGTACTCCCTATTGGTACAGAGATTGTGCAACTGAATTTGTACTATGGAAATGACACCTGCTGTAGCACCTCAAGCAGGTGAAAAATCAGTGCAGTATGTGTAAGGCAGCTGGCTGAGTCTGTGACCTAGGGCTGGAGYTGGAACACTTGTAGTTGGCAGTGCGGTTGTTTTGTCTCTTCTTTAGAAGCAGAACAATTTGTCTTGATGTAAGGCCAGGTCATGAGCAGCTGTGCTCAGTAAGGAGGGAGTATTGCCACAGAATGATTGGGAAGCAGTAGGACTGGACTTGGGGCACTCATAGCTTACATCTGCGAAGTGCTGAAAAACTTAGGATAGTGAGATTCTTTAGGTTTTAAGTCCTGGCACTTCTGTCTGCAGTTTTAAGTAAAGATGCTTTTTCCTTTAAGAGTAAGTTGGAAAGGAGCCAAAGACTGGCTGTTGCTAGACACCAGACTGAAATGGCAGCATTCCTGTCCTTGGTAGAGATGTCTGACACTGCAGAAAGGCTGTGTCAGCAGTTCAGGTGATGGTTAATCAAAGTATAATTAAATTTCAGTTTATCTAACTGCACTTAAACTATGGATTAATTTTAATTATGTTCTAGGCTTTTAACATGATGTGGTTTAGGAATGGTACTCCTCAAATTAGTATTCCCACCAAAACACTCCAAATCATGAGATGCTTGCTGACTCCCTTCTCCTCCTACCTCACCATTCATGGTGATGAGAATTGGGAGGCCCAAAACATAAAGATTGTGAGTTGCAATAACAACAATTTACTGGAAACAGTAATGGAATAAGAAAAAGTACATTAAGAGCAACCATGTCAATTACAAAGTGTACAAGAGAGATAAAATATTCACACAGAAGTGTAACTCAATCACTAAGAGACCAAGRAGCCCACAGCAGTGGCTGGCTGAGGTGGTACAGAATAACCTCTGGGTCTTGGCCACGTCCCTCCTGGCTACTGCAAAAATTAACCCTGTCCTGGCCAGAAACAGGACATGAGTAACTTTTTCTATGCAGGAGACTAGTACCTTGCTTGGTGTTAGCTTAATTTTTTAATGCACTGAACCTCTAAGTAGCACCATCTCTCTAGCTAACTCCAGGGTCTGGTGTTACTAAATCCAAGTAGAAGATAACACTGCCCTGGTGTTTCAGACAGAGGCTGAGGCAGAGCCCTGGCAGAGCCCATACACTCGGCTCTTTCCGAGAGATGCACACACAGGATGATGATGTAATATAGGCTCTTTAGGAGTTATTAGAAACATCTACAAAAATCATGTAGATTCTTTCTGTTCACCTGTTGTGACTCCTTCTTGATGCTTTAGCAAGAGTTTTTTTGGTTTTTGGATTTGCTCACCTCTAACCTTTCCTGAGAGGAAGATGCTACTTCCCTGATTTTTAATTCCCATTTCACTGCTGCTGACTACAGTTCAGMGCTATGACCACCAGAAACTGACAGAGAAGCTGAGCTCAAGCGATCGCACATAGTGCCAATATTTAACTGGAATAAACAGAATCTGTCCAGGCATCAGMATGCAGGACTGAAATGCAGCCTTTGGGAAATTTGGAAACTTGACCAAATCTGGATCTTCCACATCAACCTATAAAAAAACACACAAYCATCAAAAGAATGTCTTTACTCAAATATGTATCAGTACTGATACAAAAAAATCAGACAACTATTTACCTGACTAGTGTTGTGAAGAATTTGGCTTTCATGTGGGTAGAGGTTTTCTGAATCTTGTGGGGAACAGAGACGGATATACTTTCTTCCAAATACCTGTATATAATAAATGTTTTCCATTGGTCATTAACTGGCCCATTACTGGAAGCTGTGGGCCATAGCTGGCATTTAACTGTAAATACTGTATTAATGGCATGTGTAGAGTAACTAGAGTACATACCTGAGCTAAAAAATTTTGCTGGGGATCCTGATGAAGAGGTGAGATTGTTCCTCCTGGACCAAACCAAGCATTAATGGTGATGTCATCTTCTTCCCCTTCCCCCAAGCAGCAGTAGTCAGGGATACTGATATCCTCTTTCAGTTCTGGGATCTRTTTCCAGAAAGAAAAATACATCAAAAAGGGTACGTGCTGACTTGCCAAACATGGAATTCATAGAACAGATGAGCAAGGCTGGACACAAAGAAAACAAATGAGTGGCTGGTCCAGCAAGGGTASGAGACCTGCTAGGAATCTGCAAGAAATGTTCTCACACTTTCTAGTGAGAAACTGCTCTAGTGAACAGATTCTGTTGGAAGAAGAAGCGAGAGAAAGATCCTTTGCTTTTGCAGAAACCAGAGACACCCACAAGAATAAGTATGGTTGCTCTTCATGGGAAAGGAGCAGCTGATCTATACTATGCTTGCTTCTCGTGAGATTCCTTTTTATGTCTCCACCAACCTAAGATTTGGTAAACATATCAATGTTGAAGTCTGTTTCCTGTCCAGATCTCTTCCCTGACTTACACAGTCTTTGAGGAAATGGGCTTTCTGGGTGTTATCCCCCTAAGTATTTGCTACCTTGTACTGAAAGAGCTCCAGGATTGAAGGTCTTCATCCAAAAAGGGTTTTGTTTCCTTGTCTTTCAGCCAAATGGAACAAACYTCTCCCTCAATTCCTTCAAATCATGAGAATAGAAACTTAAGAATTACTGTGAATACTCCAYATGCTCTTCAATCTAGTGCAGTCGACATCCTCAGAGACAACTTGTGCTACAAAAGGAACACGTGACTGTAGGAAGATAAAAACATTCACTYATTTTTACCTGATCAAAAAGCTGGTGCTGGGCAAGGTATCCTACATTGTTCTGAAATGACAGCAGAGAAAGAAAAAACACAGTGACATAGAGTACAAGACAGTCAGTTAATTTCCTTACAGGTGAATAKAATTTACTTATCATCCATTCCCAGTGTCCTATTTTGAGTACTGTAACTATTTCAACATATAAGGGGTCCTCAGAAATATCAACTTTCAACTCCAGTCAAATGGTGAGAGTATAGGTGTGTCTCCACAGTCAATAAATCATCCAGCTCGAGTTACTGAAGCAAGCTGGGACTCCCTATGGAATCTCTTTAATTCAGAGTTGTGTTTACAGYGCACCCCCTCCCTTGACATCACCTCTGCGTATGTTTGTTGTAAGCAGAACTGTTGTCTGTACCAGTACCATGCTGCTGTGTTTGAGATGAAACAAACGAGTGTAACAGACCTCATCCACGATATACTGCCTGATGAAGTCACTGACAGTCATGAGCTGCTGAGACCATTCCTCATCTGTGTACCGAGCGCCCAACTCCACAGGGACTGTGCGGCACCCTGCGACTTGACAAAAATAGTCCACACTGAAATAAAGAAAGCTCCATTACCTTCTATACTGCTCTTACTAATTTTGAATGTAAGGCAATCAATCCAAATCAGCCTTATAGGGTAATAAAATTATACTACCCCAAGTTTCTCCTGTCTAAACACAACCAACCAGAGGTAAAAGGCAGCAGAAAAGAGTGCAAGCAGCAAGGAAATCAGCAGGCAAGTTTGTGTGTACATTACCCCAAAACCGTCTGTTTTGTTTGGGTTTAAAAGCTTGTTTGCCTCAATTAACTGTTTTTTCCTTCCCAACTAAAAATTTAAGCTGCTACTGTCTCTTGGCAAGGGATAGCAAATTTTTTTCCTGCCTGCTGCCGCATTTGATAAAACGTATCTTTYTAATCATTAATACTAGATCAACTCTGTCAGTGTCTATACAGGTGCCAATAATACCCATTACAGTTACAGCCAGAGGGATTRGTTTGATGGGTGAAATACATCTCTCCATGGACAATAGTACTAATTAAATTGAGAAGTTAATCTGTTTAAGTGTCTAAAGTTAACCAGTGCAGTACCTTGCCTTAAAAATTAATAAAGCCCCTATGAAATAACAAGTGTGTTCACCTAATTTTACTTTTGGCTGTTGAACAAAAGTAATTACTCAAACTAGGCATGAGTGGATTTTCCCCTAGGGAATCATGACCTTCACCTCACAAATACTCAGTGCTCGGTATTGGAAATGTGGGCACCATTGCTTATGTTACCGAGGCAGCACAATGCTAACACACTCCTGCACAGTGGTGTTTGAAATGCAACACTCAAACACAAAACTGAACAAACATCAGTGCTCGGACTTATGAATGAAAAGGTCAATTGTGCTTACTCATGGCTCTGAAATTCACTTTCCATGGCATTAATTATYGGCAAGTTCCAAGGGGTAAAAACCACTGATGTGTGCATGACACAGATCCCCTGAGCTGTGAGCAGCTTGCTGGCACTTTGCAATGTGCACTCCTTGTGAGTCTCTCAGGTGAGCAATACATGGCAGCAGCAATTTGCCATTGGGTTCTCAGGACAGCTGCAGGCTGGGCAGAGTGCAGCCTTCACCCATGAAGAATCAGAGGCTGGGCAAAGGGTCACCTCTGCCCCGAGACAGTCCRGCACCTGCTGTGTGATGCTCTCAATGCTCTGAAGAGCTTCCTTCATCTAAGCAACTTCAACACAGCAGCAGGACAGTGCTGCTAGCAAGATGCCCTGCTCACAGCATCCATCCTCCATTTATCGGGCATCAAGACATCCAATGCAGGGAACGATCGTGCCTTTACTTGGACAGGGAAGGAACTTATTTCTCACCTCCACTTCTTCATACACGGCCAGTGGTCCATGACGCCCTCAAGGACCACGGGCCGCTGGGGAATGAGGTAGTTGTCTCTGAAGTGCTCCAGCGAAGGGCAGCGAAGGTGCGGAATCATCTCTTCCGGCTGCAGCGCGGGGGGCGGCGGCGGCGGCTCCGGCCGGACCCTCTGGAATGGACGTTCGCCCTCA